CTATGAAGCCCGGTTCCGACGACTTTCCTTCGCTAGTAGAAAAGACTCGGTTTTCTTGTATAGGAATATTTATGAATTTTATTTGGGAATTTTAAGAACTCTTTCTTGAAGTTTTATGAAGAACACTTTCTTCTCTTTCTAACACTTAGAAATTTAGGATCAAAAACTTCACTTAAATGCAAAACCATTTTGCACATATTTATACTAAACATTTTAGCATAAAATAATCAACATTTAGTAATATTAAATAAAATCAAATTTTATTTAAATAGTATTTACTAACTTTTGACTTTGAAAATAATAAGATATGTTAAGTAGTTCAAACAACCATCAACAACCATTTTATTATAATCATATTTATTATTTTAATCCTTAAATCATATTTAAAGATATAAATAATAATTGGATAATAAATCTTGAGAATCTTTCTCAAGACTTTATTATTATATCATTTTCCCAATATTATAATAATCATATTATTATTATTTTGGATTTTTGAAATTTAAAATCCTATTTTAAAATTCAACTTTATTAATTTAGTAATTACCTTAATTACTAAAGTAATATCCAAAATGTAATTAATCAATCTTATTGATTAATATATTCCTTTAATTGATATCTAATCAAATTAGATATTTATCAATTAATTCTAACCATTAGAAATACAATCTTTACCTTTGTTCATAATTAGTGTGACCTTTTAGGTTCACCTTAATACTAGTAGTGGGTTTACAACACTTTGTAATTTGAGTTAAATCTTATTAACTCTTATTCATGAATTAACCCTTTAATTTATGAACCCACATATCATGGTAACACCTAGCAAGTAGCATGAATCTAGTATTAAGTGAATAGCGAGTAAACCTATTCCGATTACAACTCCATACATGTAAAATCCTTTCGACATCTAATTTCCCGATTAAGTCTTGGGTATGATTTTGTCGAAACCCAAATTGACTTAATAACTATGATTCTATTTCATGTTTATTAACCCGGTTATGAATCACTATTCATCTCTGCCTTGGCCAAGGACTTTGGATTAATAACTATGAAACACATAGGAAATTCACTTATCTTCATAAGTGTCGAATCCTTTATTGGCCACTAACAAACTTCCATACATATCAACATAATACCCAACTTATCCCTTTAAACGATAGTGCTAGCTACCAAAAGGATAAATCAAAGTAGAATGTAATATGCACAAAGTTACCATTGTGCCTCAAGTCTTAGGATTAGTCATGTACTATTGTAACATGAAAATTCTTATTCGACTGAATAAATTCTTCATTAAGAATTTTCATACGGTCATGTTCAGTGAACTTGTTCTCTAACAAGCACCCACATAAATGTACTTACGTCTTACGCTAATGTTGATGGAATGCAACATTCTTGTCCAACAAGCATACAAACTATGTGCAAGTCTTTTATGGATTATTCGATATCCCATCTCGAAACATCCATCGACTTGGAACTGTATTTAAGATCACGGCTTTCAAGGTATGTTCCATGATCACCATCTCTATGCGCAACCATACCTTATAACCATAAGTGATCTAGGGATTTTATCTTAAGTGTAATTATAAGATAAATGCTTTCTCTTAAGATAAAGAAATGCCTTATTCATAATATAATTCCAATAGACTGTATTTACAAGTAGAATACGTCCAATTAGATTGGAACGCCGGGTACCCTACTCTAACAGTTGAAATATTGCCACTAAAAGCATCTCTAATGCATTCTTTTGAAAGGGTAAAAAGTTATCCACCTAATCTAGATAGAAAGTGTGTGAATAATATATCCTCCAATGCATTAGATTATGGGTCATTTCATGCTTATGTGTAAAAAATTAATGTTAACATTGTCAAGCTCACTTTCTAATTTCTCACATTCTTTCTAACATGATGACTCATCATTTTGATAATTATTTGACACAAATTTTGAGCTTTTCATAAATTTGGAAAAATCCCACCCTTACATTTATCCAGTAAAACATTTGAGAATTTATTTGAATACAGTATAATTATTTGATGAGTTACAACTAAAATTTAAAAAATTTATCAATAATAATGTCCTTAAAAGTAAAATATTATGTTCATGATATTTGTTTGTTGAATTATTGCAATTTTAATATTTTGTTGTTTTATTTTGAACCAATTAAAAAAATATTTATTGTGTGGTTATACATATTGTAACTGAGAAATTATTGAATAAATAATAATTTTATAAATTTGATGATATAAATAAAAATTAATTGAATCAACAAAAAATAACATCATGCATATAATTATTGAAATTTGTGGTTTTTTTCTAATATACTCTTTGATTTTATTAATAATTAAATAAATCCACATATACAAATTGTATGGTTGTTGAATGGATGCATTGGAGGCAACAATTCAAATGAAAGTCCTATTCTTTTAACATTCAGTTCATGTAGATTAAACATTAATCCATTGATTGACATGTGTTCAAATTTAATTAATGTTGAAAGTTGAGCATTGGAGATGCTCTAATTCCAGAGACGATCCCTTCTGAAATGAATGCTAGTCTTATTGTTGCAGTCACTGAAGATGACATTAAAGAAGCTTTATTCAGCCTTGATTCTTGCAAAGCACCTGGACAGGATGGTATAAACTTTATCTTCTTCCAAAAGTTCTAGTCCATTATTAACTTGATTATTGCTCTGCTGTCCATTATTAGCTCGAGTGCACGGGTGCATAGTATAGGTGTGCCGGGTGTTCGGGTGCTTGGGGAAGGTGCGCCAAGTGCAGTTGGCGCGCTGGTCGTGTGTGCAGTAGGACAGGCGCGTTGGGCGCGCCAGGATGCTTGACGCGTGTGCAGCAGATGAGGCGCGGGACACGCAGGGCGCGCGGCGCGCGGTGCGACCTTCTCGAGCGTGTGCATGTAGCGTGCGCGACATCCGCGCACGAGCAGCAGACGTGCGCAGCGGGTACGCCGGGTGCGACCAGGATGTGCGTGAAGGGGCAGCGCGGGTTTGGCTTGACGACCAAGAAAACAAGACTTCTAGAAGGATTTTTTAGCTGAATCTTTTCTAGATTATTCTTGGATATACCCACATGTTTTAAGTTGCTTTCGTAGGTAATTTAGGCTTTGAATAAGTTGGGTTATTTTAGCATCCTAAGTTGATTTATTTTCCATAAGTTAGTAGTTTATTTCTCATAGGTTTAGGCCAGGGGAATAGCCAGAATTTATCTTACTCTGGGCTGCTACATAATATGTAAAATTTTTATTAGAACCAAGTTTTTAGCAAAAATAACTTAATTTAGTTCGTTAAAGTTCGAGTTAAATTTATTAAATGAATCGAGTCAAACACACGCTCATTTATTAAACAAGTATGAGTTCGAACACAACATATTTATCTCAATTTAGCTTGAACAACACTGCTAGTATAATGTATAAAAAGGTTTATCAAAATTACAAGAAATACATAGTAAAAGGAATAATAAATAAATTAATAAAAATTTGGCATTTTTATATATTAAAATTATCAAATGTTATACTTTTTAGTCTGCATTTAATATAAACTCTTACATGTATTTCTTTAATTTCTTTGATTTTTTTATTTAAAAAAAAAACAAAAGAATAATTTCTTCTCGTCCACTTGAGTTCTAATTAGAAATTTTAATGTAATTTATTGTGAATATTACTATGAGGTGGGCGAACCATTTACACCGGTCAACCCTAACACATTGATTATATGAGATGGCACTTTTTTTTTTTTCCCAAAACGATAGAGATATGTATTAATTCAAATCAATAAGTTCAATTACAATCAAGAACAATCGAAACTAAAAATTGAGAGGACACGCATCACCACGACCTAGAACCTCAACAACTAAAAGAAGAAATAAAAAACAATCTTCCACTGCAAATAGCCTAGAGGGTCACAATCCAAAAGCAGAAAACTATAAGAGCCAATTAACATGCTAAGCAAAACACAAGCAGAAAAGACAGAAACTAAGATTAAGGCTAGTGGCCATGACCGACCCCTTTTTGGCTTTTTGGCAACTTTACTAGGGACATGCAACATATAACAACTTAAAATGATGGAAAAGACATAAAAATGCAAAGAAGCCTTAGGAGACCTCGGTCATGCATGGACTTGGTCCGGTAGGGCAGATAAGGCACGTACAGACCTAGGGTCACCGAAAATCAACTTCTCCAACTACCATCTATGACTAAGGCCGAGTTCTTAACATAATAAATCATGACTAATAAGGCTTAAATGATATCATAAACTTGCATGTATAGTAATATGGCTCGAAGGTGAAATTTCACATAAAATCATGAACGAGTTGACCGAACCAACTTCTCTAACTTGAACATATGACTATGGCCGAGAGCTATACATTCAAAAACATGATTTTAGAAGCCAATACTCATGGTAAAACTCGAATGCACAAATACTTGGCTCGGAGGCTAAAAAATACGACTATATGAGGTCCTAGATGACCAAGCAAATGAACTCCAAACATGCTCAAATTTTACCACATACTTTCACATGATTGATAATGGTTTATCATCAAATAAAATCAGCCAAAACATGCTTGCAACCAAAAATCCAAATTTAAGGCCTTAAGTTTCAAAAATTCGAAACTCCATTTTAAGTGCAAGAAAAACTTAGTTTATCAACTTGATAAATCTTATTTTATCATATGGAAGCTGAGAAAAATGAATTGGGGTAGCCTACCTTCACCAAACTCGAAAATGAACACTAGGTTCTCTCCTTGGCTTGTTCGCGACAATGGTACCTTAGGGGGCGACTTCCGACGACTTGGGGAGCTTAGGATGATCTCCAAGGATGCTAGGGACCTTCTCCAACTCCAGTTGGTCTCCTTGGTGGTGGCTACACGAAGGAAAACGGGCTGAAGGTGCTAGTGGCGTGAATAGTGTGAGAGGGAGGTAGATGGAGCTTTTTTCTCTCTTCTCTCAATTTTTCCTAAGTGTTGGAGCTCTCTATCTTGCTTAGAACAAAAATGAAGTGGTATAATATGATTTCTCTTGGTCTTGGGGGTTTAAGGGGTCAAGGAGACAAGGGGACAAGACATTTGCCTTGGGCACAACAAAAGGGGTGTGTTGTTGGGGGTAGAACTCAAGAATGGATGTCTCCAAGACTAATGCTGGTCAAAAGTGTTTAGTGGCTTGGTATTGGTCAACATGGACCCCTTAAAATGCTGAAAATTCGAAATGGTTGAGCCTTGGCTCGGTTGGGCTTGGTTTGGGGGCGAATGGCGTGGCTCGAGTGGCTTGGCATGGGTGGCTCGCGGGTTTTGCTTGGGCTGATTATATGGCTTGGTTCTTGTGATGTTTTGGACTTAGAAAAATACCTAGAATAATCCTAACACTTCAACTAAACATTAAGCTTGGCTCGGGGCTCGGCTCACGCGAGGGCTTGGCACAACTCGGGTCTTAGGTGCGCGAGCGGCTCGGGAATAGGTTAGGGTTCGAGAATAAAGTCTAGGCTTGAACTTTGATACTTCATAATACTTAGAAAATATTCTAAGTATCATGATATCAAGACTCGGCTATGCTCGGAAATGACTTGGAAAATTTATTTGGATCGAGACTAGGATTCGAAGCCAATGAATTTCTCGAGTCGAATAGATATTACATATCAACCCAAATTAATGGATTGATCTTGACCTTAACATGTTGAATAAAATTCTAAGGAAGATCTTACATACTATAATGAGCACTTAGCATATAAATTAAATAAATCTTGAATTTCTGAAAATTATGAATTTCACTTTAAAAGTCGAGCAGTAAAATCATCTTCATATTATAAAAATGATCGGGGCGTTACAACCTATCCTCCTTAAAATATTTTCGTCCTCAGAAATACAAAACTAGGGTACTAGGTTAGAACTCATACTATAAACTATATACAAACGTACAAATAAATGTACATAAGTACAACTGAAATCTCAAGACTGAAAAATTTGGATATCTGGCTGACATAACTGATCTTGAATCAGGCAAGCTACATCGTCCGGTCTTGATCGGGAATCATGGGCACACTCCGGGTGGCCTTGGCTGCCTCGGAACCCTGGGGAGGGCGTTGGCCTCTCAACTCAGGCGATGAGTAGCTGTGGGGACCCACTTAGGGGTCATTGCCCTTGGTCAAAGCTTAATCTCTTGTATACGTAACTCATCTGGGTATACACTTGCATGAGCCAGGGTGGAAACAACTTCCACTAAATATGGGTCATGACAACTCAACCAAGAACGAGAGATACTCAACCGTTCAGATCCTAAACTTTTCTTACATGCCTATCTCTGAAATAATTGATCTGAATATCTAGGTTCGATCTCGGCCTCTCTTTCTCAAGTGGCTTCCGACTCGTCGTGGCGACTCCTGTAAACTTTGACGAGCTCTACATCTCTGTTCCTCAATCGTCAAAGCTTTTGGTCCAGGATTGCTACTGGTCGTTCATCATACGTCATGTTCTACCCGACTTCTAGCTTGTCGAAGTTCACTATGTGACCCGGGTCATACACATACTTTCTCAGCATCGATACATGGAAAACATTATGTACGCCCGAGAGCTCTGGGGCAACGCCAGATAGTATGCCGTCATGCCAACTCGTTCGAGAATCTCAATCGGTCCTATGAATTGGGACTGCAACTTTCTTCTTCACTAAACGCACGACGCCCTTCATTGGCGTGTCTTTCAGGAATACCTTAACTCCTTCTTTGAACATAAGCTCTCTTCTATGCTTGTTAACATAGGTTTCATGTCTGCTTTGCGTCTCTCTCAACCTTACTCAGATCTTGGCAACCTTCTGCACTGCGTCCTCGATCAACTTGGGACCGAGAACCTGATTCTTGCCGACTTCATCATCCCAATAAAGGTTGAACGGCACTTGTACCCGTACAAAACTTCGTACGGCGTCATTTTGATCTACGAGTGATAGCTGTGAGTGTAGGCGAACTCTACAGTGGGTAAACTTTTCCCACGAACCACTTCGCTCTAGGACACAACACGAAGCATGTCCTCGAGCGTCTGGATGGTCCCTTCCGTCTGGCCGTCGGCCTGTGGGTGATATGCGGAGCTGAAACTCAACTTCACACCCTGTTTAGTGGCACCACTATAAACAGTGAAACCCTGTCTGGGGTTCGAAATAGTCAACACGAGCGTCGTCGTAAGCCTTGCTTTGAGCTTCTGAAAGCTCGACTCACAACGACTGCACCATTCAACTTCACTTACTTCCTCGTCAATCGAGACAAGGGCAGAGCAAACTTGGAAACCCCTCGATGAATCTCCTATATTAGCCAGCTAATCCGAGGAAACTCCAAACCTCAGTGGCATTTCTTGGGGTTGACTAGTTCCGAACTGCTTCAATCTTTCTTGAGTCTACCTCAATCCTTCTAGAAGTGACAATGTGGCTTAGGAAAGCCACTCTGTCAAGCTAGAATTCGCACTTTGAGAACTTAGTGTACATTTTATTACGCCGAAAAGTCTACAACGCGGTCCTCAAGTGCTACTCATGCTGATCTGGGCTACAAGAATAGGCCAAACTGTCAACAATGAACACGATAACAAATTGATCTAAGAACGAATGGAAGACGTGGTTCATGTAATCCATGAATACTGCAGGCGTATTGCTCAAGCCAAGGCATCACCACAAATTTGTAGTGACCATGTCTTGTTCTGAAAACTATTTTGGCCACTTTGGCCTCCTTGATCTTCGGTTGATGATAATCAGAACGCAGATATATCTTGGAAAACACGCTGGTTCCCTTTAGCTGATCAAATAAGTTCTCTATCCTGGGGAGTGGATACTTGTTCCTCATCGTTAACCGGTTCAATTTCCGGTAGTCGATGCACATTTGCATGGACCCATCCTTCCTCTTAACAAAGAGGACAGATACTCCCCAAGGTGAAACACTCGGTCGACTGAAACCGAGACTCAATAGCTCTGAATCTGAGCCTTCAACTCCTGAAGCTCGTTCGGCGCCAAGCGCTAAACACTGGTCCCACTCCAGGGACTAAGTCAATTGCGAATTCCACCTGGCGATTAGGTGGTCCTCCCTGAAGTTGTTTCGAAAAACGTCCACGAAGTCATGAACTATGGATATATCTCTGGGTGTCATCTTCTTCGAAGTCTCCCAAACGATGATGACAGAAAATACCTGACAATCCTCCCTCCGTAAGTACATCGTCGCTTTCGCCATGGAAATAACATGCGGTAAAGTTCTGGCCTTCTTCCCGAAGAACGTGATGCAATTTCTCTCGGATGAGTGCAGTGTCACCTCCCTGTCGCGAAATCTGATGTCTGCGTGACATGCGTCATATTTACGTGCATTTTATAGTGATTTTTGTGTCCGTTTCGTCGTAGTTTGATATATAATTAGTTATTATTTAATTGATATTATTTAATTAATTATTTATTTAATTAATATTATTAAGCTATGACGAAGGTGTTTTATTTGAATTTTGACAGGAAATAGGTCGAATTAATTTTTGGAGTCGAAAACGGCGTGAAACGGACATAGAAAAGGAGTACGAGTCTTGCATTGGAATTATGGGCAATTCCATCTTCATTTACTGACCCATGATATACTTTAAAATTAGTTGTAATACGCCCAAACGTACAGCCGAAAAACATGACCCAAAATCATATTAATGAGGGGCAGGGTGGTAATTTCACGAAATAAATCTTCTCTTCTTCAAGCTTATGCGCTGCAACACAATTTCGTCCGCCATGAAAAGAGCTTTGTCCACCCTGATTTCCGACCGCCGCACGTTGCACGAAGAGCCTCGCTGACCGCCGCCGCCATTATTACGCTCTAAAACCCACTTGAACGTCAAATCCACGCCGGAGAAGCAGCAGGCCGCGGGAGCTGTCGGGGAGTGACCGGAATCCGCCATGCTGGGTGCCTGAGCGACTTCTGGTCGTCTCCTGAACACGTGGGATGCCGGAAACTCGACCAGGAGCCACGAAACGAGCTGAGAATGACGATTTGGTGCTGTTTCAAACTCCTAAGTACACACTGGTCGTCTAAGCCCGAGACACGGCTCGTGTTGCTCCGACGGGTCGTTAATTGTCCTCTCGACTTTGTCACACGACTCGTGTGGCTTATGACACGAGTAGTGTGACCCTGGGCGCAACATACACGGGTTTGACGTGTTTTTCCTATGTTTTCGGCTTTTTCGACCTATTTCAACTAGGACTCGACCCCAACTATTTAAGAAACACTTAGACACGTTTTTGAGGAGTCTTGGACATATTTTGGAGACCTTTGGAAGCTAGAAACACGAGCAAGATGAGGGAGAAAGCCGGGAAGAAAGGATCGACAGAGCCGAATAAGTTTTTTCTTTCTTTTTCTTTTCCTCTTTCGAACTCAATGTTTTATATCTATTTTTCTTATTTTGAAATCATGTTTCTAGGCTAGATTTATCTTAGATTCTCGAACTTGTTAGTACTTGGATTGATTTATGATTTAGTTTTTATTTATTTCATTCTCGTTTATCTTTCATTTATAAATTCTTGTGCTTATTATTATTATTGTGAGAGTAGACGGCCGCTATGAATGCATCTTGAGACCGAGAGGAGATAGATAACAATTAATATCTACGATTTAACTTGTTCGAGAGAAAGGTTTGAAATCAATTTAGCGATTATCTCTACGATTGATAAAATTAAATAATGTTTGTTTGAATATAAACGGTTCATGAATTAATTCCGAGGAAAACATAACCTAGAATCTATCTTTTATATCGTGATTTATTTTTATTACTTTAGGTAAATTAATTTTTAGTTTAATCTCTTAGTTTATAACCATCATCCCCTTTTGTTAGTCTAAATAATATTTAATTGTCACTATTTTAGTACTTAACTAGTACGAATCCCGTGCGATGCACGGGTAAGAGATATTCGTTAATATTTATAATTGCCGTCGTGGTCGAAGGAGCGGAAGACCTCCAATAGTTGGTCCCGGTTGATGAGAACTTGCTCGTCCATGTCGGGGATCTTTATAAAGCAAACCATATAAGGCTTCAGGTGGACAAATTTATAGAACACTACTCGTTAAATGTTTGTGAAAACTCAAAAGCGTGCTTTTGTAGGTGCTGAAAAAACACAAAATATATAATCAATATTTTAAAACTAATAAGAAAAAACCACCCAAAGATTTAAAGGCCAAATTGTTTTAGGAGCGGGATCAGCTGCTCCCTAATGTCGCCTCTCTCCAGTGCCTCTCCTCCCATAGTGGAGTTGATCAGTTAACAAATTCATTCTTTACCTTCTCGTAAAGTTTGTTATGACCAAAAATCTCAAGCCTCGTGCTAGCATCCGACGAAGACAAACCCTCTCTTGAGCACCTAAGATTCTCGAAAGCCTGTGCGATCGATATATTCACTTACATTTTCATCGCACTACCATCACTCCCAGAAGTCATTTCTGTTTTTCTATCGCATTTTGTTCATTCAAATCTCTCTAAATGAAAGTAAAATTAGTAAAATCCTTTGTCCAATCAAATCCTTAGATTTTCTAATGTTTTATTTCGGTTTGGTTTCTAGCTTTTCAGGACACATTCACCGATCACTCATATTAAACAAAACCATCCTCAAATGTTGCACTTTTTAAAGATTAATTACACATAAAATGAGTGTGAAAAAAAAAAAAAAAA